ATAATGATTGTTACGATTGGTTTTGTTAAATATATGCAATTTGTTTACTAAGTATATTAAGTAAATAATTGGATAAAATATTTTAGTATCTAAAGAGCTTATTTAAAAAGAGATATATTATTTATAATTTAACACTCGAAAAAGTCATAATGTAATTAAACATTAATTAAATATTGATTTTTTATTATTATTTTATTTTCCGTGACATTACGATGTGTACATTACACAATTTGAAGTTAGACAAATTAAAGTTTTTGACAAATCTAAAGCAGGATTTCTAATAATTAAATATAAAAATTTTTTTTATTATAATCACACATAAATATAAAGTACGTTATTCCATATGTGTATTCCAGTTTTGTTTATGTAAAATTATGCAATACATTATAATATATTCAACGAATAAGGAATTAATGTATACAGATTGCGATTTTCTGCGAACGCAAATTCAGATAGAGAAGGATTTAAAAACCCGAGGCACGCGTGCGATTATGCCACATTTTATCCCGACCAAATATGGAAACGTGTGCAAGCTGTGCTTCGCCACTTGCGCCAACCGCTTTAACATACTCGCATTAACTGTTAATCAGGTCGGGCATACAGCACTCCTCATTAGTAGCTTCTGATTACGCGGCCTACTTAAATCAGTACGCAACAAAGCTTTCTAAATTGTTATTTGAATATTGCATCGCTACCGCGTTGCGCCGGGAGAGGAAGGATTTAATAACAAACGTATCGCATCTATGACCAAGGCCATGTATTATATCCGGTACGGTATATTACAGCAACGGGGGCGCGCGTTGACCGGGGGCCAAATTAAATTTCATCTCCATAACGTTTGTAACAACGGTGATCTGGTAACGCCGCGGCTCTTATCAATAGGTAATGATTATTACCCGCGCCCAGTTTCGCGTCGGTTCGTATGTCGCTCGTAACACGCGCTTCATCCGCCCTCGTCATCCCAATCATTTCATCAAAACATCCTACGTGGCGCATCCGTTCATGTTATCGGCGTTTGCTGTCGCTATCAGTAATCAGATGATGCATTCTGTGGTAACAAATTCGTACATATCATGATGGGGAAAACGCATGGGAAGCATCTTTCATCATCAATAAAAGCCTCTTATAAAAACACTATAATAAACATGTTTTATACAGTCACCAAACTAATTGACCGGACAATGCATTAATATATAGATAATTTCTAAAAATTCAAGATAGAGCAACTTTGTCAAAAATTATCGTAACATAATGATCGAAAAAGCATTTTACAGCTAAAAGTCTCTATTTTTAAAATCCATAATTCATTAAATAACTTACTGATTCTTTACAAAGCTGCACGGATGCAAATGGAGATGCATCAAAATTTTTTTACTAAATTTGCAAAGTTCCATGGAGTGAAACAAAAATCGCATACAAATGCGACTTACAGTGTTTGAAAGCGTGAATCTTTACCTTTAATTTGCACACTCGATCAGCATTGTGCAATTTTTTTTCACCGAGTTATTCAACTTTGAAGCAAAAATGACCTTTTTTGTTTCGATGTTGAATAACTCGGTGAAAAAAAATCGCACAAAGCTGATTGAGTGCGCAAATTAAAGATAAAGATTCACGCTTTCAAACGCTGTAAGTCGCATTTGTATTTCGCGATTTTTATTTCACTCTATGGAACTTCGCAAATTTAGTAAAAAAATTTTAGATTTGGTGCATCTCCGTTTGCATCGATGCAGCTTTGTAAAGAATGAGTAAGTTATTTAATGAATTATGGATTTCAAAAGTAGAGGTTTTAAGCTGTAAAATGCTTTTTTGATCATTATGTTACGATAATTTTTGACAAAGTTACTCTATTTTGAATTTTTAGAAATCATCGATATATTAACGCATTATCCGGTCAATTAGTTTGGTGACTGTACATATAACATAAATATGTAACCATTTCTGAAAAAATTCTGGAAATTCTTTTTCCCATAAAAAATTGGAGAAAATTAGCAAAATTATGAATGAGTTTATATGTCCTATTACAAAATTTAAAAAATTTTGTAATAGGACATATAAACTCATTCATAATTTTGCTAATTTTCTCCAATTTTTATTCCTATTAATCAGTTTGACCTTATATGTAAGAGAAATGATCAAATATACATCACACGGGAAAAAGAATTTCCAGAATTTTTCCAAAATGTGAAGTCGATCAGTTTGGCGTCTGACAGATTCATTTAAAACTTTTAAAATTATTCTATACAGTTTATTTGTATACGATATTAGAGTGATTTTACACAGATAATAAATTTCTTACTAACAATAATTTAATCATATATTGTTTGTAGCAATTAATGATAGTAGTGTGTGTGTTAGATAAAGTAATTACATTTGTACCATTACGTGATTAGAAATCAAACTGGAATTATGCTGTTTGCTTCATAATTTGATAAAGATATTTGTACCCCTGTATGCCTAAGGCAAAATATCGTGATAGCAATGGTCGGTAGGCAACCAGAACTGTTAACGAATGTCGAAATAAATCCAATTTTAAACTCGACGGTTACAAATGATTGGATGAACGTGTTCCGGTAGATAACTTCGATGAAACGTTCCTCCATTAATTGAACTTGCAATCAAGTCGAATTCGTTTAATCTAGACTGACTCCGGGCTGAGATTAAACTTTTTACGTTTGCGTAGAGCATTGATTGACCTCGAACGATGAACGGAAGATATGTAGTTGCGAAAGATAAATTGATTTGACGTAACGGATAGGTATTTTTTCAGAGGAAGCGTTCTCATATTTTCTACTCTTCTGATTCGCCCGTGAGTGACGGTTCCCAAAATTCTGAACACGAAGTAGAAAAACGCGCGACTCGATTTATTGAAAGAAATTTCATTACAACTCTCCTCTTTCTGAATTACTTTTTGGCGCTCACCTTGTACAGCGCGAAGAATAGCATTCCGTACGCGTTCCGATAGTTATCAGCTGTGTACGAACAAAAAGCGAATTAAAATGCTTCTAGAGTCGCTTTCCACGTTCGCTGTTGCTGGGAAAATGCAAACTTTCTCCCGGCAAGCCTGAGAATTTAATAAAACGAATCGCTCACTCGGGAGTAGTATAACGGTGTAACCTTAACCTCGATCAAAATAGTGGGACGTGAAATTGGCGGAGTCGCGCGTCACCGGAGCCGGATTACGTATTGCCTTTGCGGCCGCTTTGAAAGTTTCGGAGCATCGCTCGCTTCGAATGAAAATGGATGGCCGGCCGCTCTTCGTACGGCGCGACGTTCTCTCTTTTTTTTCTCCCTCCCCCTCCTCCTCCCCGCTTTTCTACCGCTACTGCGCTTGTTCTCGTCCTTTTGCCTTCCGTTTTTCCGCCGCTTTTTGCCCGGCCAACTTTTGCGTCCCTAGGGACCGCGCGAATTGCATAGCCATGCATATTCGGAACTTTCTGCCGGCGCGGCACCTTCAGTTCATCCTTTCGTTAATAAAGAACGACCCGTTTGGGACATCGATTCGATCGGAAAAACTGCCAACTAATTCCTCGCGTATAGGCGCATCGGAATCCGCTACCGCTTGTCTGTGTCCACGTAAAAAAGAGACGCGCGACGCGATTTGCCCGTAAGATAACATTTTTCGCGTCGCCGACAACATGCGCGAGTTTATCGATATAACAATTTTTTTTTCTGACGAAACTGATATTTGCAAATGTTTAATACTTTTTTCGTACACATATGCAGTTTTTCACTGTTATTGTTTACTGTTATAATTAAATCAGTCGAGTTAAATTCACGCTCGGCGTTTCAATTATCTTCAATTACTTCTCTCTACATCACTTTTTCGAAAGATTGAAATTTATCCATTGGGAAACTTAAAAGATCTTACATAATTAAATGTTAAAGGAAACTTTTATATGGCTAGAAACACATTTACTTCTTACAAGTATAAAAGATTTTAGACGTAAAAGATCTTACATAATTAAATGTTAAAATAAACTTTTATGTGGTTCGAAGCACATTTACTTGGTACAAGTATATAAAAGTTTCTTTAAATAAGAAATTGTTGAATTTTTTTAGATCACAATGTATAAAAAGAATATCGAATGTGTGTTACAATGTGTAGAAAGAATCTTTTCTTTCACATGAGACTATTTGAGTCTCTTGACAATTTGAAGCCAATCTTCAAAAAAGATTACTTCTATATATATTTTATATTCCTTGGTTTTATCACTTTTTCCAAATTTTTCGATTTGCGTGCGACAACCCTTACCGTGTTATTATAGGAACTTTATTGGCATAAATCCCACAGTCGAACGGCGTAAACGTGGGCGGTCGGCTGGGCCGTCTGTCCAACGACGGGTCGTAGTTTTCGCAGGAAACGTTCCGGATTAATCACGGCGAATTGTTTGAACAGACAATGGCAGTCACGGTAAACTCGAGGCGTGTGGGTGAATATGGTTTCAAGCGGGATACGAAACATTTCGAGAACGTCGCCACTGCGCTAATTAGTGGACCATTCGCAGATGAGCTTAATATTCCATTTCGTGAAAGCGGCCGCGTTTTACATTTTCCGCCACGCATACTGAGATATCGCGTATCTCAACCGTTGTCGGTCCTTCGCCGTGAGTTCGCCGGTCCGTTGTTGAATCCGTCCGTTTTTTCGTCCGACAACGCGGTCTTGATTGCGAAAAATTACGCCATTCTTGTGAATTTTGACAAAACTGTGACGAAGTCTTTTCACGGTTACAAATAGTCGCGATCTGTCGTGAGAGAATGACGGATTTTTGTACCGATTTGGTGTTATCAAATACACATAGTAGCATCCAGTACCTATAGAATGAATAATTCGTAAAAATACCCGAGAAAAGTAATAACTATTTATATATAATTTAAATAGAATTTAAATTATATATAAATGAAATAGTTGAGAGTTTATAATTGAGAACTATAAATATTTTTGCGTTTTTTCGAAGTGGATATACTGGTGATGGTTAAAAAAGTAATTAAACTCTCAGAGATTCTCAGACATAAATCTCTTTTTATTTTTGCACAAAGCGTGATATTCCGTAATACCCTTTTTCATGATCTTTTTACGATAGACGCTAAGTTGTCAACTCGCCGCGGTTGTTGAACTTATTATGCATTCCACGTTCAATCGCGACTCCCGCTTCCATTATTTATGTCATCTGCCAACTTGGCCAACCTATAAAATAGATATTCTTCTTGACCTGGAAGGAAGCGTTCGCGTGTCGGCGTCCCCGCGATGCACAATTTCTTGGCAGCGCGCCAAGCGTGACCCTCCAGACAATGTCACGCCCATCCTCACAAGTGTTGTAATTCCGGCGCTCTTGACGAAGTCCGGGTAACGAGGGGATCTTTGGGATGGACGCGCGAGAAGGAGCGCGGAAAGAAAGGAGCAGGGATTCCTCCTCGCGCGAGCGAAACACGGGAGATTTTCGATCCTGTAGATCCGGCACGTCGAACGAGAATCCGGAGCGAAGTGGCCTTCCGAAGTAAACCAATCTGGCCGGGGCTTTACGTCGCTTTCGTTCTCCGGTAAAAGTTCCCGCTTCATGTGGGCGGCCCCGTGTGCGCCATCGGGAATGCCGGTGTTGCAGTTCGTGGGTGGTCGAAGGTGGGATGAATGAAGAGGCAAACTGGAGTTGCGTTCATCGATCGGCCCATTCGCACGTGCACATACCCTGCGTCGTACAAGAAACTTAAGTCCCGACCGAGTAAAATAGGATTTCTTCCTTCTTGCCGATTGTAACGTAGATCAATCAGAGAGATACATGTACTCTTTGTCGAGTACTCCGAAAGCGGGGATTTTCGCTTTCCTATTGATAGATAGTCTGTCGATTATATCATGTTCGAAGGACTATCATTTCTGTTATAATGTAGATTGTTGACATTAATATCAATGCTATAATTTAATTCTCTGTCTTTTTGCTATATTAAGCATGAACTTGACTAAAAATTTAGCACGTTAGAAAAGCATTGACTACTTTCAAGTTGCTTAAAATTGCTTCTGAATGATATTTTTTTTAGGTTATTCTAAATGAATGAATGAAGTCTTCTTCTTTATAATTTTAATTTTCATAATATATACATTATGTGTATGTAAATATGTGCACAAATAGAAAAAAAATAGAAAGATTTTTTGATCGATAAAATTTCGCAATATACATGGTACTTTTTTTTATCTTGAATTTTTTTATATTAATTTTTTATTTTTGTCCTCTTTCTCTTTCTTATGATTCAAGTAAATACATTTCCACTTAGTACTTCGTATTTTATTATTCGAATGTATTATTCCGATTAATATTTCAATTGCACTCGAGTAAATCTGCTTATAAAAGATTAACTGTCCGAAAATATTTAGGCACCGTTCAATTAAACAGGGATTATTCCGTCGATAGCGATGATAGTGAATTACTAAGCGGTTTTACAATATCACGTAATATAGACGTTCACCGAGAAATTAAAATTTGAATTGCCTCATTTGGTTTAAATGTATCAATATTTATGAACAAATGGTTCGGCGATTAGGGGAGAGCGAATGTTTGTAGAGTAGAGTGGATTCGGTGGATTAACGCGAGACGAAAATAATGGTGTGCCTTCATCTCGATGCCGCTAGCTATTAATTCGCCCATAATTAATGATCGATTTGGATCGAAATCGAAATCAAGAGCCATGACGTCGTGGTTGATGCGGTTGCTTTAACGCAAATATTTGCCGCAATCGTGCCGCGGGGCGCGAGGACTTAGATTAAACTATTAATTATTCAACTATTGAGTGGCGTTTACAGACGGCGACGTTTAGCGTAGGTAAGTTCTATAAATGCGGTTAGGTTGCACAATTACATTTTCGATACAATTGTTCGTTTGCTATACTAGCGACTGCTCGATTAAATATGAATTAATTTATATTTTAATTTACGTCGCGCGCATCAAGTAATTTTAATTTACTTACTTGAACCGTTTTTGCTTCGTAAACAGTCGGTCAATATTAACTGTATTCAATTTTATTTGTCCAGTTGAAATCAGTTTATCCAGTCGCTTTCTTTAGCTTAAAATAAAAGTGTGAAAATTAGTTGTAAATTATGTATATTTCTTTCAATTTTTAAATTTTATATATTCAATATTAATTAAGATAATTTTATATTAAATAAATAGTGTATACACACACACGCGCGCGCGTGCATACACACAAAATTGGTAATTAAAATGTCTAAGTTTTTATTTTACTTTAATGTAATATATGTACATATCTTGGCATAAAATTTAAAAGATGTAACATATTTGCTCAATTAATTATCCATTAGATCTTAGTTTGTAACCAACGTGCCAGTGCAAGAAGCCAATTCGCGCTGATGCGTTATTAATCTATGGGAATACTCGTACATTGTATAGGAATGTAGATGATTTCTTACACAGCATACAGTATGAATAACAATGTTAATGAATTATATCACCGACGGTTAAAATACTTGAGAGAATCTCAGGTCTCTTGCGTAATAAATAATACATGTTGAGCGTGATATTTATAAGTTTCTTTGACACAGATTTATTCGTAAAATAATTTGGAAAATTTTTAAATCACCTTGATACATAACGCGTAGTGTAATTTCTTATAACGCCAACGCTATTAAAGCGTTTTAAGGTCGAAGCGCGAAACCTACTTTCAAAGAACTTTTATTGCGTTGCACACCGTGCTATACCGTGCTTAACAGAATATTTATTGGAGCTTGTCCGTAGTTGAAAGCGTGAAGTTCCTTGGCCGCGCTATAATACGCACATGGCCATCCGTAGGGTCATATCCGGAAAATTGGCGGAATTATGAAGGAATCGTACAATGGTACCTGCCGTTACACCGCGCTGAGAAGAATTATTCGGGCTTAATTTCACGGTTCTAAAGACGTAAGAAAAATCGTAGTTAGTGGCATACTGTAAACAACGGGGAACGTGCGAGTTGAACCACTATATTTAGAAAACTAACATTTATTGAACGATATACCTATGTATACCCATTGGTATTTTTCTTTCAAACGATTGTGTAAACTTTAGCTGTAAAATGACCATATTTCGCGGTCAGCTTTTAGTTTTCGCAATTAAGAATTAGGTACTTTATGTAGACTTTAAAAAATTAAGATCTTCAGTATTCTAAAGTTTCTCCAAAATTATTGCAGTACAATTTTTCAAATAATCGTAATAGATAAAAAGAAAAAAAGGCAACGATAGAAATAGGGAGGGAGAAAGATTAGTAGGTGTAATTTTATTTTGAAATATTATAATGCGTTTAAATAATTAATAAATCGTGAATGTAACCTATACAAAATTAGAATTAACAGTTCAAGAGTAGAATTCAACAAGAAAAGTAGAATTTCCTGTATTATTTCACCTTGTGTCCACGGTTACATCTGTGATCACGATTGTACTAGTTATGCTATCAGCCGAGAGGGAGAATCACGTCAGAAGCTCATTGTATTTCATTGGAATCACGAGCGAGTTCAAACAGCGAGGTCAGGACACAACTGACTTTGTCGATTCGATGAGATTCACCCGCTCGGGATGCGTTTCACGGCACGTCTTCTCGGACGAGGTCGGAGGGCACAATCTCTGATATCTGCGAAGGACCCGCGCCGGAGAGGGACACGCCACGCCGCTTGATTTTACAACTCGAGAAGTTGCCCGCGAAAGTTTCCGTTGAAGAGTTCGGAGTTTACCGCTTCTTGTGCAAATAACGTTTCGTACGCTAAACTTATTCCGAGATAGAGGGTGCCGCTCGCGTTCGCGCGCGCGCGCGCGCATACGCAGGTAAAACTTTTGCCTCGCGTTTTCCTACCGTCTATTCTCTTTTGATATAGCGCACTTCCGCGTTCGCGCCAGATACGCACCCGATGCTTTGTAGGTATTGCGTGAAACAAGGAGCGCGAATTTAACGCGCGCACCTTTCTCAAATCGGGACTTTCTCGAGATTAAAAGACCGTATCTTTTAGAGTTTCTTTTACGTGTTTTGTTTGCGCCTGACATAAGTTCATTTCAAAAGATCTGAGTTACTTTAGAGATGAAGAATAATAATAATAGATATTTCTTAACATTTAAACAATATATAATAGAAAGAGATAGAGAAATACGTACACGGAAAGAACGATTTTGTTAAAAGGTCTAAAAATTTTGCTAAAAACAGATCTGAAAATAATTTTTTATTAAATCATCAAAATAATTTGTTGGAATG